AGAATTGGAAATTCTAATAGTATTTTTGTTAAATTAAAAATTTAGTCTAGGTCAATTTGATACCAACCTATTCATTTTTTAAAGAAAACTTTAATAGATCTATTTTACTATAATTTTAAAAGTCCTCGAGCTCCAAAATTTACTTAAAAATTGCAGACAACTTTAAATAGCTTAAGATAGGCAACACTAAAGGAGTAAAATAGAAACCACTTACATGGCTATCAAATTTTCTATCTGACAAAAACTATTTGAATTCTACGATTTGTTTGAATTTGTAATTAGTTTGACAGTATTGTTAAGATTTTTTTTAATTTAAACTACGATTTCTTGGTGGTCGTGACTTTTGGTGGTCTTTCTTTTTGGCTTACTCCTCTTCCTGTTCTATTGATCAGAAGCATCCAGCAGCGCCACGCCGGTTTAGAATTTGATTCTCAGGGCTAAGGCTCTCCTTATCCCCCCTCCCTTTTCTTTCCTCCCTGGCCGTGTGTGGGCCACACTTCTGAAAGGCCCTACAGGGGTCCTTCACTTACTTGTGTGAGCCCCCCGCCCGCTCACGTTCTAACAAAAAATCATTTTTTTAGTAAATAAGTTTTGTTAAAGTAAATTTGATTTTGTTTTTAAATAATTTTTTTTCTTTTAAATAATTTTGTTAATTTCGAAATAAATAAAAAAAAGATATATTTTTTTGTTTAAATTTAACAAAATTCGTAGTTTTTTTTTAGTTTAAAAAAATAAATTAAAACTTTTGTTTGTGTAAAAGAATATGATGTTTACATCGACCCAAGTTCAAGTTTTTGAATGCTACATTTTATCGTTGTTTTTACTAAATAATTATTTTAAATAAAAGATTTCATTTAGAGTTTTTTTTCTTTTTTTTAAACAAAATTCAAAAATACAAAATATGTATTTTAAAAAAGAGTATAGCTTATATCTCAAAATGGTGACACATTGGTGTGATGTTTTAGTGTCTCATGTCGCAAGTTCAAGTTCAAGTTTAATGTTTCATAAAATTAAAATTATTTTTTTATTTATTATTTTTTTTTTACTAAATAATTATTTCAAAAATTCCAATGATGGGAACTGGAACCTATGTCAAAATTTTTCTAATGGCTTTCGTGCCACTCATATCTATTAATTCATATCTAAAATGTGAATTAATATAATATGAGACATTTAAAATAAAAAAATATTTTTTTGGATCAAATAACATAATAGGATAATTTTTGACAAAATGTGGTACCGTTTTCGAACGGGTGTTGTAGGGTGCTAACACCTTCCCTACGCTCAGTCGACTCCCGAACCAACAATCTGTTTTCGCAGACCTTGTCTTTATTTTTAGATGACCCATCACACCTCGTAGATGATTGGTGGCGACTCCAAACCCTTATCTCGAAAGAGACCCTTCAGGGGATGACGTCGGCCACTCCGCGTCGCGATGACGTTGCGACAACAACAATGGAAAACTTATGCGTACCAAATATTTGTTGTTTATAAGCCACTCTTCAACTATTATCTAGTCCTGTGTACACTTCCTAAATTTTAACTTTTTATCTCTCTCCCCGTACATATAATTCTAGCTACTAACTTTTTATCTGATTCTCGTTCATATCTCTGGAGCATCGGCAACCTGATTTTGCAAGTACGTAAATACAAACCAATCATGTTATATCATTGCATGACAACCAGAACATAGAAGAAGTAAAAACATTTTGGACAGAATAAGCATACAAATATCTTACATTATTTCCAAGGTTTCAACGGCAATACATACTTATTGGGCATTTCCAATTGGAACCATCTTTGCATTGTCACAATTAATAAAGCTGTCTGGACCACTTCCATCTTCTATTACTGTGCTTCTTAACCATTCGCAGTATTTATCAATGTCGCTTAAATTTAAGGCGCTGTTAAGATTGTATGTATCATCTTCTAGTACATTTAAGATCAAATCAGCATACTCTATTAATGTTGCTTTCCTTCACTTCCAAAAGTAGTGGGAAGCTCCGATCCCCAGTCAATAAAATCTGGAGCAACATTGTTCGAGACGGGCAAAGTGATATCCCTCAATCCTGACTGAATCTCTTCTGCTGTACCAGTACATTTAGTTGCTTTTTGGTCTTCAATTCCAAAAGCACTCAAATCTAGCTCCGGATCAATTACGGGAACTGGATTTCATCAAATATGCAAGAACAGGTTACCTCCGAAGTTGTTGTAGAATCATTTGGAAAGTTCAACTCAGATATTTGAACACCCTCTCCGACTAAAGCAAACTTCTCACTAACGTCAGCGCATAAAACACTCCTTTCATTTTCAAATGTTTGGATGTTATAAGGGTATAATCCAACTTCCTTATTGTTGTTGAATGGAATTGAATTGTAGTTTAAGCCAACTTGCTGGAAATTGTGGTCAGGTATTTTGAAACCACAATTTACAAAGTCGCTAACAGGCAATCTAGGAATAGGTTGGAGTTTATCCGCCCCTAAAACAGAGGTCAATCTATCTCCATCTCTAAATCTTCTCATCTTGTGATGCTGCTTTTGAAGTAGAGGAGAAATTTGAGTTCTAGCGGAGGAATTGGATTTGGATGCCTGTAGATTCTTTTCCAAATTTTGATTTTTCTATATAATTTACTTTATGGGTTTGTTTGGTTACATTTGTGTGTGTTATTTTGATATATGTGTTGCCATGCGTATTTGAGATCATCCTTTGAAATCGGTTTCTGAAGAAAATAGGATTTTCCTCCCTCCGACGCTTTTGTAGCCACGTCCAAATTCATCCCCGACAGCATAATTGCTTTGCAATTAAGTAGCTTAAGAATAAAGAAAACATAAAATTGTATGAGATAACCATGTAAATGCAAGCTTACAAATGACAGCAATATTCTTCTTAAGAAGCGCGTGCAAGAACGAAAATTTGTCCATATCGGGCATGCTCGCGTTGGCCATGACAAGATCGGATCGGTCACCTTTTTCCTGAATCATTGATAGAGCTACAGATGCTTGTTGAGTGACGGTAACTGATAAGAAATTCAAGTTAGGAAAATTTCATCTTTCATATCATATAATTGAGTTTTGCTTTTCTCCCAATAAAATTGACCAAAGTTGTTTGGTAGAGCAAAAAAGTGCATATATGGATAAATGAATACTAAATAAGGATTATAAGCACATCAAATTCATGAAAAGACAGAAAAAAAAGGGGAATATTTATGTAATTAGACTAATAAATGAAAGTTCAAAACAATTATACTTGAAGGAAAAGGATAAATTGCAGACCAGTGCACATAAAGTTGTTAAACTTAAACTATAGGACATCATTCATCTTTTGTACTTTTATGCTCTAAATTTATGGATGACAAAAAAAAACGTAGGATCCGATTCCCGCCAGTATCCAACCTGATCGGGTGGGAGAATCTCCAATTTGATTGGGGACAAAATCAAACCGGAAATTCTAAACAGGATCCCAGGTGAGGATGGGGGAAGTCTCCTTGTCCCGTCTCCATATCCCCGACTCTGCCTTGTTTAATATTTTTTTAATATTTATATTTTTTTAATAAATACTTTTAAAAAAGCTAAAGTCGAGTACCGATTTAGCCTTTTTTTTCTTTAATTTTAATTTCCATAAAAATAAATAATATATATAAAAAAAGTAATAAATATATTTACTAGAGAATTCCGTCCCGTCTCCGCCCAAAATTTCGAAGATAGAGACAGAGGTGGAAAAAAAATTCCCAACGGAGGGAGGATGGGAATACGTTGCCATCCCTCTTCTAAAAATTCAATGCTGGTTTTCAAAGAAAGAAACTAATGGAGCAAAATAGCACATACTCTTACCATTAACTCTATCATTAAGGAAAATATCCTAATATGAAAATATAGTATAAATTAAAAGCATAGCTGAAGTCCGATTAACGATGCAGCTAAGATAAAGTATTATGATGAAAGAGAGAAACTAAGAGATAAGAAGGATTAAAAAATTAAGTTAAAGTTCTTCCCATTTGTCAACAATGATCCATAACAATTTTCTAGAAATGAGGTATATGTGAAGTATGAAAGTTCCTTTAAACATTGCCATTCAAATTCGTCCATTTGTCTTCCTATATATTTTAAATTTAGTCCCTATTATTTAAACAATTTGTATTTCGTCTTTTATATTTTACTTCCTTTCAYTTTTGTTTAAATTGGATACGAACAAACTCAAAATTTCTACCAATTTAATAGGAGAAATAAAAAACTTTTCGTTTATATAATGATATATATACTCCAYGGGAATGRGATGGACAAGTTTTGTGGACTTCAAAGGCAACCTCTCCATCGACTTCCACATAAGTGAGCATACACAATTGGAGATATTTCGCGAGATGCTCAATAACAACTCCAGAGATGTTGATCTCCCCTTTAGCCTCTGGTGTCCCACCCACAACAATTTTCTTTATTTCTTTTAAGCATTGGAATTCTCGCTTCTTTAATTTTTAAAACAAAAAACTTTTGTTTTGATTCGGTTTATGTATAGAAAACTGAACCGAACCAAAGTTACATATAGAACCAAGCACTCTTTTCTACATCTCTAACACCGTCATCATTCCATCCCTCGTTCCTTTCGATGTTCCGTAAAGATTCAAACTTGACTTAGTGACATCCTAATTCTCCCTCCAAAGCCTAGCTCTAACGCCAAAATGAGAAGAACCAAAACGTCGGTTCGATTCTTTATTTGAAAAAATTGAGTACCTCGATTCAGTCTTTGTATGGTTTAAAATGGAAAAAGGGACTGAACCAATAAAATATATTACGGTCCTATAGAAAAACGAGATTGATTGGAAAAGAATTAAGAAATCAAGTTAAAAATTTTCATTTCTCAACAATGATCCACTGTAATTTTCTTAAAACCCTCCCATAAAAATATGTCACTAAAATTTACTAAATTACTTTCTAAATTAGACATGCACAGGTTTAGTCCCTAATATAAAGAAGCATTAATAATTGAAATACAGTGAAGTATAGTACCCTTGTAGAACTGTTGCTCAAGCAAAGAAGCCATCTGCATAAGAGAGAGGGGATCATGATCCACCACCAAAATATTGAGATTTTTGTCAAGTCTAGGGAGATAATCAGTCACCCAATAACCCATTTCTTCCGCTTTCCACAAAGATAGTCTAAAAAGGGGAGACGAKGTTAGACTTCTAAGATATGAGAGAGAGCAAATTTGGGAGAGACGACCAAAATAGAAGAAATAGAGGTTAACATGCACCGACATAGAGCAAGAAAACAGAGAGTGAGAGTGAGAAAGCACTAACGGTGACTGAAACGCGGCATCATTAGAGGTAAACAAGAGAGAATATGGCTGTTGTTCAATGGAAGAGAGATTGAGCTCAAAGAATCTTACTTCAAAACTCAAAATTCCATGATATAAGTCATTTTTTTCACTCAAATTGGGAACTTCCCTTGGAGATAACTGACAAAATAAAAGAAATCATAAATGGAAAGCATTAAATAGAGGTTAGAAGGATATTGTAGACAAAATGAAGTGAACGAGCAATAAATTTCATAGTAAGAGAGCACAAATGTTGAAGGGAACATTGAACAAACACGTAGAGGACAACATTTATAGAAGCCATGCCTCTTGCGTAATTTCTCCCTCCTTTGAGTCTTTGGTTTCTTCTCTCTTCTATTTCAAACATACCATGCAATCAAGCACTGAATTTTAAACCTATTAAACAATAAATTTGAAAGTTGATGAATGAAAATTTTAGTTTCATCCTTCATTTTTTACGTTGCCAAAAATTTGAGCATACCTTTGGCAAAAATAAAGAAGGACGGAAAATGGTAGGGAGAAAGTTTAAAAATAATGTAAATAAAATTTAAAATAATAAAATAATAAAAAACTTCTGGGGTAGATTTGAAAGTAATTCATTTTAAATTTTAGTTTAAATAAAAAAAAATCTCAACAATACATTTTCAAACTAATTACCAATAGATTTTGTCTGCGATTTCGAGAATCGAGGACTTTTTAAAATATTTAATTTATTTTTAATAATTTAAAATATTTATTTTAATGTTTAACTATTCCGTTTAGTTAAATTCATCCTTTTTTTTTTCTCAACTACCATGGTCGTTTACCAACCATTTTTAATTTGTTGACATTCTACACTCTCACTTTATTGGAAGATCGTTCAAGATCTAGAATATTTTATTTCAAATTTGGAGAAGAGGAGAGAATGGAAAGAAAGGGAAGAGAGGTGAATGAAAATGAAAGAGAAACATGGAAAAATAAATAACATATATAAAATTAATTTGATCCACACCGTTCATTATCGAGCCTTATAAAGCAATAGGAAATTTTAATAATCTTTTTGTTAAATTACAGATTTAGGCTCTTGACTCATTTAAATTTTATCTTCGAACTTTTAATTTGGTGTCTAATAGATTATTTTCTTTTTTTAATTACTAGTGTATCACCACGTGCAATGCACGTAATATTTTTTATTTAATTTTTTATTAACAAAAATATCACTATTTATTGAAAAAAGAATATATCAAAATTAAAAAACTTAAAAAGAAATGTTTATAAATGAATAGAATTATATAACTCAATTTTTGTTAATAATGTTGGAAGAAAAATCTACTTTATATTTTAGAAAAAAAGTATTAAAATTTTTCAAGAAAGTAAAATGATTTTTTTCACATCCAATATTTTAAAAATTCTATACATTTATTAGGTGCATTTAAATTTTCATTTATTCAAATTGATTTTCTTTTCACTTAATAAAAATATGATTGATTTTTTTCCCTAATTAATTTTTAGCATTAAGAACTTATCCATTTTTCTTTAAAACAATAGATACTCATAAATTTATATCTACAAGTTAATTTTACTTATTATACTTGGGTATTTAATAAAAAAATATATAATAATTACTGTAATAAAAATTATTATATTATAATATTTCTATAATATTTATTTTTAATCCACTTTTAATTTGTTGTATTAATGTTAATGAGTAATAATAAATTTACAATTGTGAATAGAAAGAGTTTTAATTTAACAGCACAAAATATTCCTATGCATGATAGGATATCATTTTTTAGCTACAATATGCTATTTCCTTTGAATGAAACTCAACCGATAAAAATAATAGCATTATTTCTTAATAGTAGTAGAAGATAATTTTTTATTTTTTTTAATCTACAAATAGGATAGAAAGTTGATTATAATTTTTTATTTTTTTTAATCTACAAATAGGAGAGAAAGTTGATTGAATAATCCATATTACATAGAATAAAAAAATCATAACTGTAAAATAATTTATAGCATTTATAGGAATGATTAATACCTGAATTTCTCAGAAATTGCCCACCTTTGATTAATGTTTGAGATAAAATTGTAAGATTCAATGACTTCTACTTATAAGCAACATTATGCTGCAACTCTTATAAATAGAGATGCTCAACGTGCTACGTTATTGTACACTATGATGCTACTAAATCTATATGTATAAAATTTAAAAGAATTGATCAAGAAATGAAAAGAAGCAAACTAAGGAAGAGAGCTAAATTATGGTGAGAAGAAGAAGGGAGGAACTCATATATATACACACATGTAGGAGATGGATATGAGTTGAAAAACTTTTGAGATTCCAATACCTTTTAATTCCATTAATTTCAATTAAAGTAAAATCATAAATTTTTAGGAGTAAATATACGTAACTTTTCATATTCAAGCTTTTCATATTCATAACTTTTATGTTTTTATTAAATAAAGTTATTAAAAATAAGAGATGACATTCTTAGTAAATTAAAATCGATAGGTGGGTAGAATAGTCCAAAATTGCTTTTCCAAGATACTCCTTTTTTAATATATTATAGATTAAATCTATTTAACATGTTGACTTTTGTAGCTAATAAGACATAAATTTTTTATTTTGTATCTCAATAAGTTTGTGGTTTAAAGAAAAAGGTTGTATAGATCACGACTGGTTAGACACAAAATTGAAAATATTTTTAGTAAAAAATTTTGATGACTTATTAAATACAAAATAAGAAATTAAAGATCTATTATATATTTTTTAAGGTTTAAAGTTCTAGACCAAACATAAATCTAAAAGTCAGGGGATAAAACTTTTTAATTTGATGTAACTTTTTTATGTTGCAAAAAAATAGAGTATCTTTTGGCAAAGTAAATCTACCGGAAATGGTCGGCGAAAGTTTAAAAATAATGTAATTAAAATTTAAAAAAAAAACCTCTAAATTTTGGGTAGTTCTGCAAATAAATATTTANATCTTAACAGTATTTTTTCAAACTTCAAATAGTTTTTGTCATGTACAATATTTGCCATGTAAAAGATATGATAGCCATACCCATTTTAAGCGATTTAGTGTTGCCGCAATTTTAGTAAATCTCGAAAATCGAGAATATTTAAAAATATATTTTTTATTTTTAATAAATTTAAATATTTTATTTTATTTTCTAACTACTTTACTCATTTAAATTTATTTATTTCTTTCTAGTTGAAAATCTAGAAAGTTTTATTTTAAATTTGGAGAGGACGACAGAAGTAGGGAGAGATAAGGAAGGAAAAAGAAAGAGAGAAAAATTAAAACAAAATCAAAAACAAAAAAGAGAAAAATTCTATACTATATATAAATGGGCTACAAAGGATAATTTTTCTCTACCAATTTTACTCTCAATTTTTTAATATATACTAATCTTGTCTTTTAAACTTCTAGGAGATACTATTGGTCGATCGTGTCTGTTGATTCAATATGCATGTCTTACCCATATCTATTTTACCTTTCAAATTTCTATAAGATGCGACTATTTGGATCAAAGTGTCTATTGAAAGAATTGGTGCGATCAAAACCGTAGAAGTTGTGTCTATTCGAACATATCGATGTGATGGAGATCAGTTAATACAATAAAGGTGCAACTCTTCGACAAAGTGATCTGTATATTCACATATAGGTGCGATTGCAAACCATCTATAAAACGAAAGAAAACTAAAGCGATTATACATAAAAATTGTATCTTTTTTTTCTTTCGTCGAGAATATCTATGAATTTTTTTTTCTTTGATCAGATAACTCGTTGATATTTAGTTCATGTATTATTTTTAAGTTTTAAAATATAAAATATTCAATTTATATTTTAATTTGAATGTTCGTATCTATTATAATATGGCTCTCTTAATTATGTTAGTTTTGTATTCTCTTGTAAACTGATGTTGTAGTTTTGATTAATAATTTATGTACTGTGATCATATTTAGGTGTAATTGGTCCTAAAACTAACAAAACAAAATAAGATTCAATCATTTTTGTGAAGAAAAATCACCCAAAAGTATGAGATCTTATCATATTCTTGAAGGAAAATCAACAAAAATTGGAGGTCCTACCAATTTTGGGGAAAAAAATCAACAAGAACACACGATTATATGAAAGTTATTAAAAGAATACAATTGATGGAGGTATATGCCAAAGCGAGTACAGCGCAGCGGTAATTGGCATAAAAACTAAATAATTTACATCATTTTTTTAATAAAGATATTCCACTTGAATAAATGAAAGAAATTACCTACTTCAAGTTTTAGTACAATAATTACCTATTAATTCTTACATTTAATAGTTATTCCATGATTAGCATAATTCACTTTTTTTTTAATTTCTAACTTTTTTTTATGTCAATCATACAGTATATTACTATTTTAAAATGACGATTAATTTGAATTTTAGTATCGACTATTAACATGGAAAAGGTTCTTCAAAAAAAAGATACGAAACTATACATATATATGTACTTAAACTTTAATTATCTATGATGTTTTTTATTATTTTATCGCTTTCATTATTTTTAAAATTCATGTCAAATATTTAATAGTTAAGCATTAATAAAAGGTATATTCATTCAAATATGAAATTTCACAGTATAAAATTATATTCTAAAAATGTTAATCAACGTGCAACACACGTGAATCTAACTAGTACTACTAAAATACAATTCACACGTCAGTGGCAGATCCAAGATTTAACGTTAGGAGACACAACTACATATAAACATAATGCAAAAACAAAAAGTCAATTTTAATCCTAAACTCAGTGTGTATCACTTTTTACTAAAAATTTTCAATTTTATCAAAGGTATTGCAATATTCACTTTTGTAGTTTTTACTCTCCGATAAATTTTCAAATATTTGTTTTTTTTTTGACAGAAAATATTTGTTGAAAATGTATTCTTATACATCAAGTGTATTAGAAAACATATATTTATTATAAAATTGATAGCATTCAAATAAAAACGATACTGTGTTAGCTTTATGAGCTTCAATCATACCGAATGTTTTGATGATAACAAACTTTATTTACTAATGATTTTAGTGTTTCAAAGTGTCTATTTCATAGAACTCGAAAAGACAAATCCAACGTTTTTTGAATCAATAGAGTTGGAGTTTAAATGAAAATTATGGGAAAAACAAGTCAAGTGTACCTATCCTACGTGATAGGGGATGTGACATTTAAT